GAATTCAGTCAGTAACCATGAAGAGTCTGTCATTTTATAAGTTACAAACTTAAGAAAAAATGTGTATTGTTAGGAAGTAAAATTACAGTTTTATTTCTTATTGAATTTGGAGCTACACTGCAAGCTATAGAAAATACTCAGGTAATAGAACATTGTGTATACTTGCTGAATCTGGAAAATACTCCTGGGACAGCAGCTCTTAGTCTTGCCAGGATATTTTCCATAGGCACTGAGCTACAACTGTACGTGTGTGAATACTGAGTGTGTTTCAAGGCCTTCCATTTTATTGCTGCTATTTAGTAAGCCGTTTTGACAACTGAATGAGTATATGGTTATTTAAAAATGTGTAAAACTGAAAGGTATGTTAAATCTGTTTTAGCAACATTCTGGTGTTAATCCATAATTAAAACAATCAAGACAGCAGTGGAGCAGCAGTTCAAGCTCTGCTTTCCTTGAATATGTAGAGTGGTACTGGAACCAAGTCTGGTTGCAGGATTCGACCATAGCAGTGAGAAATCAGTGTATGCCTTTTGAGCAAATCACGGACTTGCCGTGAACAGATCTACTCACAGAGAGCTACGGGCATGGCTGTGGCTGCATCACCAACCCCGAGATCTCAGCTGTAACTCTTTCTTTCAGGTATTCCTTTCAAGATGAAGAAGACATGTTCATGGTGGTCGATCTCTTACTTGGAGGTGATCTGCGTTACCATTTGCAGCAGAACGTACACTTTAACGAAGCAACTGTCAAGCTGTACATTTGTGAGCTGGCACTTTCCTTGGATTATTTGCAGAGATACCACATCATTCACAGGTGAGTGAGTTTCATTTGAGGGACAAGCTGCTTTCTTTTGGCAAGTAGAGAAATGTTATCACATATCTGATTACATGGTTTTATTTATTCAAAACCTCTGAAAAGTGCTTGTTGTTATCCAAGGGTGGAATTTGGCTCTGAAAAGGTTTTTTAAAGTGTTTTCTTCCTGCGCTCATCTATTCAGTAGCCCCATATCCTTTTCGTACTACCCTTTTCTTGTTCTGATCTCATACTATGATGTATGTTTTCACTGTGGTCTTTAAACTCTAAATACAACCCAATCAGCATCCTGGCTGCTTTAAATTTATTTTGGTTCTCCAGTATCCCAATGTTCCTGAACACTAAAGTTTTGTAATCCAGTAAAACAACTTCACAGAAACAATATCAGGGAAAGGTCACAAAACCAAAGGCTGAGAATAAAGAATAATTTGTTTACTTGCAGAATCTGCATGAAGGTCAGAAGGAGGAAGAGAGGTGGGGAAATCAGAGAAATAGTAGAAATAAATCGCAACAGTGATAGATGGTGTATCCTTTTTGCACTTCTTAGATACAACAATCTGTTATTTTTACTGCCTTGCAGCCGACAATCATAGTATTTATGTCAAAAAAAGTGTCAAGTATCAGGATCTGTTTGTTTTCCTTTAACAATTCGGCATTTAACTGAAGCAGTGGGGTAACTTCTCTTTTTATGTTAGCATAGCAACTGTGAAATTATAAAATTATGGGCTTGAGCCTCTATTTTACTCTTTTTAGGCTAAATTCAGGATATTTCTTCCTGATGTATAGTGGCCCGAGTACAAAAATAATCAGTTTTATGTGTTACCTAAGCTGGATGTGCGTTTCAGAGACTGAACTAAACTAAGTGGTGCCATAGATCTTCCAATGCCCAGTATAAGCAAATTCCTCCAAAATGGATTCATCTCATCCACTTACCAGAGCTGCCTCATGATTTTGCAAGAAAGAACCAATAAAAAGTATGATCTGACTTTCTGAAGAGGGAGGATCCATAGGAAATCTCTCTGATATGAGGTGCAGTGGTAGACAGGTGTTCTGAACTACTGAAACTGTGCAAGACAAAATTCAAGTAAACATTGTGGCAGTTGTTTTGCTTGCAGTTAAAACTCCCACAAATGTTGCGAGCAATTTCTGAAATTTTGTGTCTTTAGCACACTGTTATTATTTCAGTACATTTCCATGTATTTTGCATTTTTTTTCCTTTCTCAGTGAATATTTTAAAAGTGGAGCTTAGAATTTCAGCTGACCTTTGTTTCTATGCCTTAAGGAATGTTCTTGGCAAAAAACAAATTGATGAGCATTTTTCTCACCATTTTAATGACGAGACATTTTATGCAAATAGGCTGTCAAAACATTCATGAGAGAATCCAGTTCGTAATCAAAACTGGTATTTTGCAACAAGCTTGTGACTTCAAAATGTTTCACAGAAAAGCCTGTGAAAGGTGGCAGATGTCTTGAGAGAATGAAGGATTGGATTGAAGTCGTTGTGGTTGTTTATAGTTTTTCGTGACAGTGTTTGCATTGCCATGGTCCAACTGTGAAATTGGGCAAGACACTCTGTTCTCTTCTGTGTTACTTAATCATGACTAGTAGGCACTTGATTTTACTTGATTTTCTCTTTTGCACTGTTTGTAATATGGAGTAGCACCACTATCTTCAACACTTGTTGATTTACATCAAGGCAGCGGAAGGCATGGGGTCCAGAGCTAGTTGTTGGCTCCATTTGGGGGAAAGTTCCGGGGTTTGTTTTTTGCTGTCCCTCTACACCAAAACTTTTCACAAAACCAGATGTGTCAGAATACCTGTTAGCCTGTGGTGGATCTCACTGGCTGGTCAGCTAGGATTACTGTTTAGGGTATAGGGGATCTGATTCAGGACTCTGCTATGTCATAGAAGAGATGTTTATTTTGAAGGTGTCAGACCTGAGATTTGAGCATGGCACCCCCACTTCACTGCTTACTGCCCAATTCTCCCAACTGTGGCACGAGGAGCCTTTCATCTCTCATCTTCCCACCAATTGCCAAAAAATCCCAAATGATCCACAGACCGGTGAACACGTTATTTACCCAGGAGAGTCCCAGCACATTGTGCCTTCTTCCTTGCCACCGCCTGGAACAGCATTCTGTGGGATGGGTCTTCAGTTGCCATAAATCTCTGTAACACAGCTGGCATCAAGAGCACAACGCTGGTTCGAATTGGCTCAGGAACTGAGCCAGCGGTGATGCACGGTGAGGAGATTATGTGTGGTCATGACTTTACCATTGCAAACACACCATCTCAGTCAGATATTAAACTAATGAGCTGGTTGATGTTTTTACCTTGTGGTAGCAGACATCAGCAATATCTTTGTGACCAAGGGCTTCCAGTCAGCATTCACGTGCTAACCTACAAAACTGTATTAGATCTTTCACTTTTAAATGAGTGCATTGGCAGAAAAAGGGGGAAAAAAGGTTAGTGAGTCAAAGAGTCATTGAGAGAGCCCCCTATAAATTTTGTCTGTGCTACAAAGAAAGAATAGTTGAATGATTCATCAGACTGGGTAGGTGGATTTTCAAATTGCAGTATTGTAAAGAGCTGAATATATGATGTGTGAGTCAGGAACTTAACTCCTCCTCAATATTTACAGACGTGTATGAAATGCGTTCAGGTTTCCATTACTATTGCATCCGGCAACATGACAGAATGGTTTTTTTTGCAAGATTAACCTGCAGCCCCAAGAGTTTGCTATAAAAGGAAGTGGTGATGAAGGAGACAGGAATTATCAGGCATGTATGAATGGATATACCAGTGTTCGGATCTGTGCTATGCCAACTCCCCTTGGAGACGCCATACAATGCCTCCATATTTGGCGATGTGGTCAGTGTTGTGTACTTTGAATGTGGCAATCATTTCAGCAATAGAAGTATTGTCTCTGCAGGGACAACTTTAACCATAAATATGAAACTTGTCATTTTTATTAATCACATCCATGTATATAAATCCATATTTGTCATTCACAGTCCTGTAATAGTGGATTTATTTATTATGGCACAATAATGAATGCTGCACTGTGTCTCACTTGCAGCTCTGTTGTAAATGTTTGCATTTACACAGATGTTCAGCCAGAATTATAAAAACTTTAAAAAGAAAAGCTGTAAGTTTCAAGCTATGATCCGAAGAGTATTCTGGGCAATTTTTTTTCACTTAACTTACAGAACTAATATTGAGATATCTCTAAATTGTTGGTCACAGGTAACAGCTACATCACAAAACTCTATTTCCCCACAGCCCTGTTATAATAATATTTTATCCATATTTCTTAAATGAAAAATTAATTCTTTAAAAATCGGATGAGTGGTGTTTATTATAGACCTTTGGATCCAGTACACACAGAAAGGCTTCTGATAATTCACGTGGTTTTATTAATTCTCAAATCGTAGATCAAACCCAGCATTCTGCATTAGTGGACATCAAGTTTCCAGACGGTATGACTAAATACATTCTTTCCAGTGCTGCTTGTATAATGTCAGTGAATAACACGTTGGACAAAAGTTTTCCCATCAAAGGCTGAATAAACTTGTTTCAGCCATGAGTAACTCAACCTCCTCCTTTCACAAATGTTGCTGTTCATACATTTCAATAAAACCACCTGCTTCCTCACTAAAGTAGACTGCCCATTTTCATTCAGCCAGTTCCTCCAGCAGCAGTTCCAGTGTTGTCTCTCCCAGGACGCTCCTGCAGATAGAGCCTTGGCTCAGAGCAGGGCTGGCCCTGCAGTGCGGCGGCTGCTGCCCAAGTAACATGCTCGTGCTGATACCATCACGGTTTCTCTTTCGAAGGGGGCAAGTGTTAACTGCATTGCCCTTACAACTTTTCATCATCATTTGGCTCTTATCGGTTTTTATCTGCTCAGAAAGGAGGCTGGATGTGGCAGATGCCTGGAAAGAAAATTGCAGTAACCTTCCAGCACAATTTTAGGGTACTGGACTAGCTGCTTGATCTGCATGCTTAGAGCTTTCTTATTTCAGTGGAGGGTTTTCTATGTAAAACCATTTGTGTGTGTATGTGTACATATATAAGCATACATATAAATTTTTGGTCGAAGAACGATATAACTGGAATTGGTCCGACTTGGCAGGTCTGTGCTGTGTGGCTGCTGTGATCACCACCCTGTTTTCTATTCCTACAAGTTCTGCTTCCAATGGAAAGCTGTTCCAGCTCCAAACAGCTACTCAGCAGCAGTGCAGAGTGGGCAAAAGCTAATGGAAAACAGTGACAAATCAAGTATTACATTTTCCTCTGCCAGCTGATCCACTGCAGAGTAAGGGTGTCTTGCTGCTACCAGCTAGACAAGATGTACTCTTCGTTCAGCACTGCTAGGCCAGGCTATGGTATAGGAGATTCCTGTTTGATCATTATCATTGAGCCTTTCAAGGTGTCCAGCAGTCTGTTGAAATAATATATCTAAATGATTAGACTCTTCTTAAAAATGGGCTTTCCCAGTCTCACTCGTGACACTATATATCGAAAGAACAAACTCTAATTTAAAATGTTCCCTTCATAACACTGTTTATTTAGTATGTAAGCAGTTTTGGGAATTATTGAAAATGGAGAATTTGCCCTTTTTTGTTTCACACAAATGTCACAGGCAGAATAGTACCAGCCTGCGATTTACCAGGATGTATTAAAAGGACATAGTTCCTTACAGATTTCAACTCATACTAATAGAATTTTTCTTGCTAATAAGCATGTGCAGATGAAGAAGAAAATCTAGCATAGTCTGAAGTAGTTGCAATGGGAAAAAAAGTAGTCATAATTTGACTGCTATTCATAAGCACTGCCAAAGGTCATGACAGGTCAAGAAGCCTGTCCATGTAATTTTCTTAGTTTGTCTTCCTGTGTCTCTTCCATGTCTTTGTATTATGTTCTTTAAACAAGTGGAAGCCCACATCATTTCCAAGGACAAATTGCAGGAACTGAGCAATGAGTTATGTAAGAGAAGCAAA